TATCAATTATTCATCCAATAATATACCCGATTCTGATTTTCTATGACGTCATAATCCATTTCGAGATTTTAATGATAATTTCCAACGTAACATGTTACTAGTAGCAACCAAAGTTTGTTAAACCTGTACATAAATGACACGCTTCACGTATCATTTCCTCTCGGCAACGGTTTGCTCCACACCTACTAAGCAACACGCTACCGTTCGCGCAAGAGATTAAACAGTTGTTGTTTTCACATAAAAAAGTGCATTCAACGTGTATCACCGCGCAATATATATGATTTTTAAAGTGCGTATTTTCTCAACAATCGGTTTTACACAATCGGAAAATACAAATTATTCTACCGATTCCGATTGTCTACCGATAAGCAAAAATCGGTCCAATTCCGATTATAATTTTTTATTTATTTTTTTATTAAAAACATCTTGTAACACGGTAGCTAATCAACTAAAAAAATATTAGCAAGGTTGTCGTTACTTTTCACTAGGCCGTGTACTTACAGACAGTATAAGAGATTCCCATGCATCCACCCTCCCCGAACCACCCGAATAATATTAGAAAGACATTCAAAGTTTATTATTCACTCCAACCCCACCCAGATAAAATTATATAAAAATTTTATTTCTTTCATTCCAAACTTTAGCGGCAGCATAACCGAAAGTTCGTTTCATTGAATTTGTTTTTGGCTTCAACAACATCAACTTATTTTTGTTATTTTTTAATTCATATCGATCTGAATTATATAGTTTAAACATGTCCGAAATGTTATCGTGAAATTTGCATCTAAGTGCTTTTGATACATATTTTAGTTGTTGCTCCGTCCTTCTTTCACCTAACGTTTTCCAATCTAGTTTCTTTAAAATATCTACATATATGGAGCGTATTTCATATGAGTCACCCGTAATAATTTTTGCAGGAGTTTCTGAAGATTGCCTCTTAAAGGCAAAACGTACTATTAAGTACTATTTAAAGCACGCGTAGGAGTGTTTTATCACATATAAAACACGACGCGTAGCGGAGGAGTGCTTTAAATGGCTTAAAAAACGACTCATCTTATACAAGTTCATTGGCGAAGTAATTTTTAAAATAAACTTTGTCTAAACCGAGAAAATCAAAGCTAAAGTTTATGTAAATTAACATGATTTTTGATCACATATAAAACCACGACACGCTTATGATTTTTCTTTGTGTTTTGCTCCTGAATTATTAATGAGTTTTTTAAAGTTATTTAGAAAATACAACAACTTTAAATGGCTCTACTTTTTAAAGCAGGCAACTAACCATCACCAAATTTTGCTTGAAAGTAGAATAGCATGTGGATATGATGTGGAATAAAAATTACTGTTGTGTCTGTATGGCTTCAATAACAATTTTTCCAACAAAGATGATGTATATTTACACATAATAATGTGTAAATATAAAGATGAATAAAGATGATGTATATTAACACATAATTAGACTTTTTGCTGTGCCATAACACATTACTGGTTGCAGATACAAAGATGACAGTGCAATATTTGGAGTCTCCACATACAAATACATCTTTGTGCAAATTTTGATGGATATACCATGTACGGGTATGAAGTTACAGGTCAAAATGTAAAATAGGGTAATGGTGAATTTAGCACTGGCCACGCCCACTTTTTTGCTTTTCGGGCCATATTTCGAATTGCGATATCTCAAAAACTATTGCAGCTATGATGCTCAAATTTGTAACTTAAACTATTCCCACATAATGTTAATTGCCTGCGAAATATAAAGAAATTTGGAGAGGGTGGGTGTCAAATCAGTTTTTTTTGTTGAAATGGCATGGAATTACTCGGGTGCGGCTGTGCCCAACTCTGCAGTCTGGTGTTAATACTTGAAATATCAATTCTACTCCCCTTCCTCCACTCTAAGCTTTCAAACAAAGTTATTTTTTGTCAATCTGGTCTACTTTATAGCCTGGTTATTTTCGAAAACGACGTAATTTTGTAAAACCGATTTAGTTATTTGCCATCTTAAATCTTGAAGTTACCTTGTTGAAGAATGAAAGTAATGACAAATTATAATTTGGACTTTGGTCACAGAGCTCAGTTGTGTTGCTATCTAATCAATTTACACTAGTTAATTTGGATGACTTTTAGACCCTCTAGACCCCCTCCCAACAGCCGCCTACTTTATCAAAACAGACACCTACTCAGAATAATTCTGAAAGCCCTGGAAGCTCTGCAGCTTAATTAATGAGTTAACCAAAAATCTGACAATGTCTCTAGTTAACCCATTGAGTGCCAGTGTGCCCTACTTTTCTTTTTAATTGTCTAACACCAGATGATTTTATTGTCAATGGGGAAGCTCTGCATCTTAATGGGTTAAATACCAGATAGAAAGATTGCAGTGCACAGAGCCATTCCATTTAATATCCACCCCACCCCCCTGTTGATGAGGTTACTGATTTTAGACCCCCTTAGGAAATGGGTTTTTAGGCAAACCCCCTTTGTTATATTTTGTAGAACCCTCT